CGGAGATGCTATCACGCAGCTCCCAAAGGGGTCTCGAGGAAGAATTTGGGGTGGCAACTCCATGCCTCGTGGGTGTCTGTCCTGACTTGGGAGGTGGAAGGCAGGAAGTGGGGGGGCACCCATCGAGGAGAATTCTGTAGCAGTTAAAGCAACAGAGTACACACACACACCCCGATGTGGATGGCTCTTAAAAACCCAGGATGGGTGAAAACACGAGACAAAGAAAGCCATCTATAATGCAGCTTCATTTACATAAATTAAAAATACATGCACACAAAGCAACAATAAGCATTTTGCAAGAACACACACAAGCAGAAAGATCCACAGTAAACACATTAGGACGTTTGGCTCTGGGGAGGAGGGGAACAGAGCAGGGACAAGGATACAAAGCAGTGGAGGAGGAAAGAGAAGGCACGAGGTCTCTGTGCCCAGGGAGGACACCAGCTCATGGAGGACCGCTGTCCCATTTCAGAAACAGTTGGGCCCATGGAAGACTGCAGATAGTTAAAAATTATTTCGCTCCTTAGGGGCAGTAGAAAAGCCACAGCCACCACGTGTTGTCCCTGTCCTGTCTCAGAACAGTGTTTGAGCCCTCCCTGAGGGTGGACGCCACTATTCTAGAGAGGCCAGTGGGTCTCGCAGGCACCACAGGGACCCCCCCCCCCATTTCTGTGCGTGCGGGCAAGCGCGCGCGCGCGCACACACACACACACACACACACACACACACACTGCCAAGTTCTCAAGGCAGGAGCTCAGGAGCCAGTCTTCCTTCCATAGACACATGTCTGCTGAGCACCTCTTGTGCACCAGGCTCTGTTTCCGGGGCTGGGCATATGGCAGGGATGCGGCGAAGTCCCTGCCCTCACGGGACTGACCATCGATGTGGAGCCAGACGTCAAGCAAGTGGCCACGGACAGGACAGGGTGGGCTCTTTGATCCCCAGAACTCTGGCCATTTCTGTGGGGCTTTGGTGTAGGCTCTGTGTATGTGTGCATGTAAGTGTATGTGTGTGTGCATGCACACACACTCACACAGGTGTGGGGAAGTACCAGCCACTGTGGGGAGGATGGCACTCAGGAGCAGGACACACAGGACTTGTGGGGCAGTGCCTCTGTGATCTTCCCTTTGACCCTGAGATTCTACTTCTAGGAATTTATCCCAAGGGCAGATTCCAGAAAGTTCCAAGAACACGCACTGGGGGATGTTGACCACAGTGCTGTTTCTATTACTTCAAGTGCTGGAAAGAAGGGACAGGTGCAGTAATGGGAAGGCCATGCACTGGGATCCCATGCACTGACGTTTTAGACGATGTCAGTGTCAGGGAGAAAGCTGCTTTTGTTACCCACTCAGGGTCTAAAGTCAGCTGCAAACCGGTATCAAATGATGTGATTTCATTTCTTTCTCCAAAAGTGGAAAAAAAAAAAAAGCCAGGAATCTGTTGGCCAGGGCTGCCCACCGAGCACACACCGGGAGCATGCGCAGAGAGGATCTGAGCGGAAGGACACTGGATGCTCACGGGCATTACCTGTTTGTAGAATTCTGCTTGGCTTTTGTCCCTGTGTTTTTACTGAGGTGTATTTTCTAGTTTTTCTAAATTAATTTGCATTCATTCTGTAATAGATAATTTAAAAACCCATTAACATGGGCACAGGAGAAAGCCAGGAAGGCTTTAAAGCAAAATATAAACTAGCTATTTATATCTAGGTGGTGGGTTAGGGGTGATTTGTTTTTCATTTTTTTATTTGGATAATTAAAAAGTTACTTCCTTAAGCTCCTCTGATGGTTCCCTTGGCAGGCTCATTCCTGTCCCCCACCTGCAAGGTGTCCCCGAGGGGAGGCCCGTTCCACCGAATGTTCGCAAGTGTCCACTCTTGGGGACAGGACACTCTCCTCCCTGGGGGAGCAGGCAGTTTGGGGGCATATGGCGCATGCCTGCAGAACTGTGCTTGACTTACAAATAAGTTCACCCACGTGGACATTCTGACAAGGATGTGCATCAAAAGTCTGGAAGCCAGAGGCCTGGGAGGCGGGCGACAGACGCACGCGCAGACAGGCCCAAGCAATAGGACCAGCTCAGACCTAAAACCCAGGAGTCATCCTTTCTTCCCTCTTCCCACACCCACTCTGCTGGAAAATCCTGTTGTCTCCACCTTCAAAACAGACCCAGAATCTGCCCACTTCTCACCAACTCCACCGCAACCAGCCTGGTCCCAGCCAAGCTCCAGGCATTTCTCTCCCAAATTCTGCACCAGCAAGAAAACAGCAGATCCAGGATTCAAACCCAGGGCCCCTGGCACTTGATCCATGTGACTTACAGGCCTCCTGCACCTCAGCCGAAGAGACCCAAGTCAGCAGCCCACCTGTCCTCTGCTCAGAGTTTCCCCTGGCTCCCGTCTCATTCAAAGAGCCCAAGTCCTCACTGTAAGCATGAGGCCCTGAAGGATCTGGCACTTTGGCCTCACCGACCGTCCTTGCCCTGGCTCACTCTGTTGCAGCCACACCAGCCTTGTCGCTGTTCCTCTCACACACCAGGCAGCCTCCCACCCCAGGGCCTTTGCACTTGCGGGCCTCCCTGCCTGGAATGCCCTTCTATATAAGGCTCCAACTTCAACTCTTGCTCAAGTGTCACCTTCTCCATGAGGCCACCCTGACCTCATCTTTAAAGCTGCAGCCAACCACCCCTCCTCCTGCACCCACCATCCCCGTCCCCCATGTCTTTCCTTTTCCCACAGCCGTCAGCATCCTGAACACACACCATTTACTTCCTTGTCATGTCCGTGTCTGGGGGTGTGCAGGCCTGGTTGTCCTAGACTACTGCCCCCCCCCCAGAAGACAATAAAGAGATATTTCACAAATACAGGCATCAAGGGCAAGGGCACAGATGGCTGGAGGGGGAGTCTGTAGGCTCAGACTGGAAGGCAACGAAGGGAGGCTTGCCTCTGGGACCCAAGGGCCGAACAGGCGTATTCAGGCAGAGTGGTGAGCTGAGCGACTTCCTGCCCCAGGAGGACAAATGGTGTCCACTCCAGGGCTGTGCTGACAGGCCGTGCCCAGCGGCACTGGGCTTGGTCATCACAACAGAGAGCTTGGACCTCATTCTGGAGTCCAGGAGCCTGCAGAGGGTTTTAGGCCGAGACCAGCACCCCTTGGTGGCCACTGTGGGACTGGACTGGGCACGGGGGTAGGAGCGGGTGGGAGTGGGGGAGGGCATCTCAGGTGGCTAGGACGAGTCTGTGGGTGGAGCCTCATGCAGGGCCCCCGTGGGTGCTCAGCGAACGTTCGCTGCCCTGAATCATTCACTGAGCTCTCCAAAGAGAAAAGCACAGCAGAGCACAGTTCTGCTGAGGGGACGCTGCGGTGGCCTTGGGCTACTGGGGGGGACTCAGCACACAGAGGTACTTCTGATGCGCTAACATCTCCTCTTCCGGAAACGTGCCATCCCATTTGTTCCCTGTTTCTTCCCTTCTGCAAGGTGAGCCTCCCAGAGCAGGAAAGGGCCCTGCGCATACTACTCCCGGACAAAAACAGGGCCTGGCCCCGAGCTGGTGCTGGCACACATGTTGATGTCACACGAACAAATGAAGGACGGAAACAGAGTCCAGAGAACAAGGGCATGGATGGGGAGAACGAAGCAAGGGTGTTGGCCCCCTGCAGGTGTCAGGGGGGCAGGTTGGCTGAGACTAGAGCCTGGGAATGCAGGGTGGACTGGAAGCGTACCAGGAGGACAGGGACGCTGCCGTGGAGGTGGGCCTGGAGCCAGAGGCCACCATCATGCAGGAGCAGGGATGGGACTACGGGATGAGGCCCCTACTGTTTCTGGACCTCAACCCTGGCCTCACTGGTGCTAGCCCCATGGCCATGTAGGACAGCCTTCTTGATGCGGGCAGCCCCTTTGGCACCATGCCCCTAAAAGACCCCCTCTTCTGCAGAGGGGAGCCCTGACCGCAGACTCTCCGGAACAGTGAGATGGGGGCACTGACCCCTTTCCCTCCCAGGGACAGACCAGGGTGTGCCATGGGAGAGGGGAATGTTGGCTTCCAGGCCGGATCTGGACATCACACAGGAGCCCTCTTCTCTCCTGGCTTTATGGGCCGGGGCTGGGGGAGGCCTGCATGTGGGGTACTGACCACAGGTCTTTAAGACGGTTGTTCTCAGCTAGGGCAAGCCCCCTCCCCGAATATCTGGCAACATCTGGAGCTATCTGGGGAGGTGGGGGGGTTGCTGCTGGCATCTAGAGGCCAGGGGTGCAGCTCAGCATCTTAGAGCACACAGCTCGGCCCCCACAGCCGGAGCCCAGCGGGCCCCAGAGGCCAGTAGAGTAGAGGAGAGACCCTGCTTTAAAAACACACGGCTCTGCCCTCCAAGCATCATGTATAGCCCACCTCAGTCACGGTCACAGTGAATCGGATGGCAGGTGCCCCATCGGAGCACCAGCCATGTGCCGACATGGGACTAGGTACATGGGAGGCTTAGATCTCTGAATGTCACACCACTCTGGGAAGCAGGCACATGAGCTCCACACTGCAGTGTACACTTCGCTAGGTGCCAGAAGATTCTAAGTCCTTGACCAGTATAAAACCCTCAGCCCTCACCCAGCCCCTTGGGGCAAGGGCTCTGTCATCCTCATTTTTCAGATGAAGAAACTGAGGAGCAGGGTCATGCCCTCAGGATCCCAGGGCCACACGGTAGGTGGAGAAGTGTGGACGGCACAGAGGCCTCGTGCAAGGGTCGCTCTCCACACTCATGACTCCAGGGCTGGGCCAAGGGCTCGCCTGTCCTACACTGTGGGAGGCAGACATGTGGTCCAACCTCTGAGCCCCAACACCCTGGCACAGAGACAGGGAAGCTCGCATGAGAAAACCCAGTGTGCAAACAAGATCTCCTAAGTGCCAAGGGGACACCCAGAAGGCTCTGCCAGCTCGAGCAGGAGGAGCCGGCCACCACCTGTGCCTCCCCTCGCAGCGCCCCCAACCTCCACCAGCTGCTCTCCCAGCTCACCTGGATGCCATTCTCCTGCAGGTTCAGGTACCGCGTGTTGACAGGGACGCCGGCCGGGACCTCTGCCAGCTCCCTCCGCGTGCAGATCACCCGGCTGGCCTGGTTGCTACAGGAGCAGGCCGCGGGGCAGGAGGCAGCCGGCGGGGAGCCCCCTCCAGCCGCCAATGTCATGGCCACGCCGCCCCCGCCGGCCCCCAGGGGTGGGGAGAAGAGCCAGAGGAAGAGCAGGGCCCCATGGGGCCAGGACATCCTACCGGGCAGCAGTGGGAGGCACGGGGAGCCGCGGGCGCACGCCATCCTCAATGTTCATGCTCCGCGTGGGCGCCGGGGGGCTGTGGGGGGAGATAGAGGGAGAGGATCAGTGAGGGACAGGAACCCCATGTGGCCTGCCTGCTTCCCAACCCCCACAGTGGCTCTGCTGCTGTTGCCACCATCCCTGCTCCACTCAGGACCTGAAGGACGGGTCTCCCCCAGCCCCCTGGAGGGTTGACCCACCTGCTGAGGGCCGCAGAGATGAAGACTAGCCCCGCCCTCCCTGCACTGTCTCAAGTCATTCCTGACCAGAAGATTACACCCGTTTCACAGAACTGACAGCCGAGGCGGGGGGGTGGGGAGAGAAAGGCTGCCCGAGACACTTGGCCAGCAATGAAGTCAGCGCAATTCAAACTTAGTTCTCTGCATGGTTTCAGAAAGGTAGAGAAAGAGGTAGAGATGGAGGGAGAGAAAGAGAGACAAACAGATGAAGGGAGAGAGAGAGGGTGACATGTCAGGTCCAGAAGTCTATGCGGTGGGGGGGGGGGGTCCTGGAGTCTGGCTTCCCTCACAGGCCCCATCCGCGTGTTCTCGCTGCCTGCAGGACCTCCTGTCCCTTCATCCTACTCCTGCCCAGGAGTGTTTGCCAAGAGACAAGTTTCCCAGCACCAAACACCCTCCGCATGGGGCCCAGCCGCAGGCTGCTTGTCAGACTCCTGTCACCCGTCATCGGTCCGGGCCGTGGGCCTCGCAGCAACCACAGAGTTGAGTTAGACTCAAAGGAGGAACTCAAAGAAGGTGAGGTGCCAGACAAGGCAACTGTGGAGGTGAAGTGTGGGCAGGAGAGGCTGGGAGGCAGCATGGGGTGGGGGTGGGGGTTGGGAGAGAGGGAGCAGACTGGAGAAGACAAAGGGGGAGGAGGTGGCCAAGGGGGTCCTGGGAGGGTCGCACCCCCATCTGCCCCCCACCCCCGTTGGCCCTGAGGTTGCAAGTGCTCAAGGCAAGGCAGCAGGTGGCCTCCCAGGTGGGGGAGTCGGTGGTGGGACTGGGGGCGGGGCGGCTCTGGGTGCAGAGTGGAGGGTGTAGCCAGGACCAGAGAGAAGGGGATGGGCTGATCATAACAACAATGGCAAGAACTACAACAATAATAGCTTCAGCGTTCCAGGGAGCCCTTTCTACAGCCCAGACTCTGCACACATGGTGTTCTCGTTTAAGCCTCACAGAAACCGGAGGAGGAAGCTGTTAGGACGCCCAATGGACAGATGAGGACACTGAGGCGCTAGGAGGGGGAGCAGCTTGTCCCAGCCCAGAGCTGGCCAGTGGGTGGCAGAGGGGGGACTGTGGCCCTGGGTTCACCCTCCCCTCCACGCAGCGTCTTGAGTACACACACAAGTGCACCCACATCAGCAGGCTCGGTTCTAGCACAGACCCGAGTTCCCCACGGGTGAGGGGCAGAGGGAAGCGGTCTGCCCAAACATGCGCACCCTCAGACAGACTCTCAGACCCACGGACACGGGGCCACCCCCCCCCCCCCCCGCTCAGTGCATGTGTACGCATGCGCACGCACACACATTCACTCCCTCCTTCTGCAGTTTTCAAGATCATTTTAACTCAGATAAAAATGCATGTGCGTAGTCTGTGTGCCTGAATGCATGTGTGAGAGCCCGAACTGGGGGAGACAGAAAGAGAGACCGAGAGAGACAGAGAGGGGGAAGGGGTTGGTTTGAGTCTGTATCCTGGACTCATTTTTCCACCTGGGGCCCTGGGGGCTGTGTGTGCCTCTGTCCCTGAGTCATGTGAGCGCTCATGAAGACCCCCCCTCGGGGTCTCTGCTTCTTGAGCCTGACGGGGGTCTATGCCGGTTCCCGTTCTGCACCTGCACCCGCCATTCCCCTTCCACCGCCTAAGATAGGCAATGACCCAGCCCAGGGGCCAGCGCTGACAACGGGGCCAGAAATTGCAGCTGGAGAACCCACAGGCCAGGATGCCCGCAGCAGCAGCAGCCACCCCAGGTCCAGGCTTGCTGCCTTGTCTCTCCTTCGGCGTCTGTCCCCATCTCTCCTGCAGCTAGCGTGCATCCCTCCCCCCGCATCACAGCTTCTGCAGAGGCTGGGCCTCCCGCCCCTTCCCTCCTTGCCCTCAGCCATCTCCGTCCTTGTCCCCCGCCCCCCAACACCACCATAGTGAGGGACACTCACCCCTGTGGCTCCGCTTCTGCTGGGCCTCTCCCTGGGCCCCAGGTCCCCCCCTCCACATGCCTCCAGCTGGCAGGGGGGCTCTGCCTCCCCAGTTCTCCAGGGCTTCCTTCGAGGTCGTGCTGGGGGGGGGGGCGCAGGGGCTTCTTGGTCTCCCCCCGCCCCCCCCCCTCGCCGGTCGCTCTTCCCACCCCAGGAAGGTGCGTCTAGGCCACTGCAGCGTCTCCTCCTCCCCTCCCTGCTGGCCTCCTCCTGTCTCCTACCCCCACCTCTACCTCCACTCTCCCCCCACTGCCAGCCTCTTTTCTCTCCCCTCAGTGCCCCCAGCCTCCTTCTCCTCTCTGCCGGTCCCCTGGCCTAGTCCCTGTCTACCTCCTGGGCCCCAGCCCCCTCTTCAGGCTCCCCCTCACTCTCTCGCGCCCCTCCGGATGACCAGGCCCCCTCTCTCCTTCTCCTCCATCTCCTCCTCACTCTGGCTCTGTCCCCATCACCCTCTCGTAGGTTGGGGAGCCCGTCTTGGTCAGATTTTCTGTCTGTCTGTCCGTCTGTCTTGGTCTCTCTCTCTCGGCCAGGCTCTGTCTCTTTCTCCGCGATTACAATTTCTAGTCACACGGCAGTGCAGAGCCAAGCTGTGCCTCAGCTCCCTCCCTCCCCACCCCCTCCCTCCTTCTTTCTCTCCTTCTGAACGGGGAGGGCGCCTCTCCTCCCTCCTCTTTGGCCCCCCTTCCCTGCACCGGGAGGCCTCCCCCTCCCCCGCTAATCAAAGGCTCCGTTATCTAATTAACCCATTGGTTCTGGGCGGCAGGGGAAGGTGGGGAAAGCGGAAAGCGGGGGAGGAAGGTTGACGGCTGGACTGCCCTGGGGAGGGGGGTTGTGGGCTGTGCCAAGCCCGGCCTCGGGGCACAGTCTCCGGCACAGACTCCGCTGCATAACCAGGCTGGGCTACTGCTGACCCCACCTCACACCACTGGCCACAACCACCCCTCCTGAACCTGTCCCCCAGCCCAAGGGCAGACAACCTAGGAGAGTCACCCTGCAGGAGCCACCCCCGGACCCCAGGAACTCCCCCAAAGCCCCTCACCACACCACACAACCCTTTACTCCTACCCCCACTGCTGATATACCAGCGAACCCGGGCCAACAACACTGTCACCCAGTCCTCAGCCAAGGGCCAGCCCCCATTCATGGCACAAAGAAACCCAGCCCCAGATACAGCCCTCTCCCCTGGACCTTAGCCAGATCCGGAGAGCCACCTCCCCAGACACTTCTGCGAAAAGGGCAGGGCAGTGTGTTCATTTGTTGGATTCGTCTGTTGGCCCATCTAGCTTACAATTTTCTGAGTCCCTACTATGTGCAGGCACTGGTGTAGATGCTGACAAATGCTGCCTCTATACTCAAAACCCGGACATGCACAGACCACAGGAGGCAAGTAGCTATAGATGCTATAGATGCTGTGAGAAGGGGTAATAATAGCACTGGCCTCCTAGGACTGTTTGGGGCCAACTAGCTAAATGCTCAGTAACCCAAGCAGATCTGACCACTTTTCATCCCCCCATGTCCCCTTGAGATCAGAGTCCTTCCTCACTGGTATCCCACTTCCTTCTTCCCCAGCCTCCCTCCCAGTCTGCTCCCACAGGCAGCCAGAGGGGTCCTGTCACCGTCCAAGCCAGGAGCCAGACCCTTCCCCTCCCCAGCTCCATAGCCGCTCAGCGGGGCAAGTCTCATGAGGTACAAGGGCAGAGACATCACCTTTGTTTACAGGCCTCCCTCCCCAGGCTGGGCTTCCTCTCTGACTTCAGCACTAACTTCCTCCCCTGCTCACTCACTGACCTCAGGCCACACTGGCCTCTTCGTGGTTTCCAGAACAGACCGCAGACACTTCTGCCTCAGGGTCTTTGCTCTTGCTCTTTCTTCTGTCTAGATGTCAGAGGGTCCCCAGTGTGTGCCTGCCTTCTCTCAGGTCTCTGCTCAGATGTTACCTTCTCAGTGAGGCCATCCTGACCACCTCAAATCACACGGCATCCTGCCCCTCTCCAGAACATTTTCTCCTTTACTTTTCTATATAACATTTGTCACCATCTGGCCTCTTACAAGCCCACACTTGAGCCTAAGCTCCTCAAGGGCAGGCACTGCCTCTGTTTTGTGAACAGTTTGATTCCCAGCATCTATGGTGGTGCCTGGCACATGGTAGGTGCTCAGTAAACATTGGGCGAAGGAATGAATGAGTAAAGTTATCATTGCTATTCGTCTGTATTCCCCACAGACGAACCACGTTCCCTCATACAGTCACACAGAGACATACTCGCCCACCCACATCCCTCACTCTGCGCTCCCAGCCCAGGACACACTCCAACAGCTGCATGTTTCAGTTCATACCTCAGCTGTCCCTGATCCTGAGGTCCCCTCCCATCGCAGGAGGCCTGCCTGGAGGAATCAGCACCTCCATATGCCACAAACACAACTGCCTTCAGCTTAATGCCCGTGCCCACGCCAGGGTGCTACCTGGGTGGCCAGGTCCCAGATACTATAGGCTGGAGTCCCAAACAGCAGGTCCCCAAAGCAGCTCTTGCGCCCCACTAAATGTCATACCTTGAGGAGAGCTGCACCTAGGACACAACCTGTGTGAGCTACACTCCTGAATATTGCTTTGTGCCAAGAAGATACCTGTCCCCAGCTGTCCCCAGATCCATTCCTCCAACAGATGGCAGGAGCACCAGCTAACCTTTCCTCTTCTGAGCATGGGTACATGTCTGAGTGGTACCAACTCCTTGAATAACACCACCACCATTACTGGTGATGTCTGCCACATGCCCGGCATTGCCTGGAAACCATTCTAGGTGTTGTGCTTGC